AGACTATGGAACCAATCTAGGTATCTCTCAATAGATGAATGGATAAACAAAATGTGATATATATGCACAATAGAATATTACTTAGCTTCAAAGAAGAGTGAAATTATGACATTTACCAGTAAATGGTTGGAGTTGGAGAATGTCATGCAAGTGAAATAAGTCAATCCCACAAAACYGAAGGCCGAATGTTTTCTCTAATATGCATATGCTAATTCACAATAAGGCAGGGGGCACTAGGGAAGAATAGTGATTTATGTAGAGGGAAGTGATGGGAGGGGCAGGGAGGGGATGTGGGGATAGGAAAGATAGAACGAAACAGACATTATTACTTTATGTATACATATGACTACATAACCAATATGATTCTGCAACATGTACATTCAGAAAAATGAGAAATTATATCCCATCTATGTATGATATATCAAAATGCATAAATGCATTCTACTATCATGTATAACTAATTAAAGCAAATTTAGAAATTTTAAAAATAATCATATCATTGAAAAATGTGGGTAATTTATCTTTTTCCTTTCTAATTTTAATGCCTTTCTCTTGCTTATTGCTCTTGCTATGACTTGAGGTACTATATTAAATAAAATTGTTGACAGTGGATATCCATGGCTTGTTCCCCATCTTAGAGGAAACACTTTCTGCTCTTCTCTGATCAGTATAATATTGGCTATGGGTTTTTCATACATAGATTTTAGTATTTTATGCTTCTTACATACCTAATGTATTGAAAGTTTTTATAAYGAAGGGACATCAACTATTATCAAATACTTTCTCTGCATCTAGTTAAATTATCATGCCCTTTTGGTCTTTATTCAGTTTCTTTCTTGTATGTTTATTATGTATGCCGAACCATCCGTGATCCCTGGGAGGAATTCCACGTGATCATGTTGAAAGATCTTTTTGATGTCCCATTCAAATCAGTTTGCTAATATTTTACTGAAAATTGYTGCATCTATGTTTATCAAAGATAACAATCTATAGTGTTCTTTCTTGTTGTACAACTGGTTTTGGAATTAGGGTAATGCTGGACTAGGAAAAACCATTTGAGACTTAACATCATTAGCAATTAAGGAAAGGCAAATCAAATGTACACAGATTTTGGCTGGGCATAGTGTGCACACCGTAATCACAGCAACTCAGGAGGTGGAGGCAGGAGGATCACGAGTTCAAAGCCAGCCTCAGCAACTTAGTGAGGTGCTAAGCCACTCAGTGAAACCCTGTCTCTAATAAAATACATAATAGAGCTAGTGATGTGGCTCAATGGTCCAGTGCCCCTGAGTTCAATCCCCCCCCCAAAAAAAGAAAAAGTACACAGATTTCATCTCACACTAGTCAAAATGGCAGTCATCAAGAGTGCAAATAATAATAAATGCTGAAGAGGATGTAGAGAAAAAGGAACACTTTTATACTGTTGCTGCAATTAAGATTGGTACTATGGTAATCAGCATAGAGGTTCCTCAGAAGACTAGGCTTGGGATCACCATATGACCCAGCTACTCCACACTCTGTATTTATCTTAAAAAAATTAAAGTCATCATACTATAGTGATACAGACAGACCCTTGTTCATAGAAACATAATTTATAATAGCCGAATTATAGAACCAGCCTAGGTGTCCGTCAGTTGATGAATGAATAAAAACAAAATGTGGTCTATATATACAGTGGAGTTTTATTCAACCATAAAGAAAAAGGAAATTATGTCATTTGCAGGAAAATGAACAAAACTGGATACCATTATGTTAAGCAAAATAAGTCCTTTCAGGATTTTAAATATATCAACCCCTCTATTCTTCTCTATAAGATTTCTGATGAAAAAATCTGCTGTAAGTATAATAGGCCTTCTCTTATATGTGACTTTATATTATTTTTTTTTTTAGAATTCTTTGTCTTGTACATTTTTGGGGGTGGTACCGGGGATTGAACTTTGGGGCACTCAACCACTTAGCCACATCTTCAGCCCTGTTTTGTATTTTATTTAGAGACAAGGTCTCACTGAGTTGTTAGTACCTCACTTTTGCCGAGGCTAGCTTTGAACTCAGGATCCTTCTGCCTCAGACTCCGTGGGATTACAGGCATGAGCTACCACAMTCAATACTTTTGACATTTTGAGTATTATATGATGGTGAAAATATTTTTATGGCTGACTATATTTAATGCCCTTTGAATTTCTTAAATCTTGAAATCCATATACCTTTAAAATTTGGTGAATATTCAGCTATGATATCATGAAATAGGTTTTTAGTGCCTTTCCCATTTTCTCCATTTCCTGGAATGACCAAAGTATTTGTTTGCTTAATTGTGTCCAGTTAAGTTTCATAGGATTTTTTTTCATTGCAAAAATTGTTTTTACTTTATTTTTGTCTGACTCATTTAATTGAAAATACCATGCCTCAGCTTGAGAAAGTTTTAATGTGTTGTGGAAGCTCACTCTATTGCATTTCTTACTTCAYTGAAATTTTTAGCTCTAAGATTTCTGATTGGTTCTTTTGTATGATTTCTATCTTTAAGGTGAATTTCCTCACTCATATCCTGAATTTTTTTTCTCATTTCATTCCATTTCTATCTAAATTCTTTTTCATCTTGCTGAGTTTCCTTAGGATGATTATTTTGTAGATTTCCTTCAAACTGGTATCGGTATCTAGAAGATTTTTCTTTGGAGGTATTGGGTTTCCTTTCATGTTTCTTTTGCCCCTATGTTGATGTCACGTAACATTCATCTCTTCAATGTTATGAAGCTTTTGTAGAAAATTATTTTATATGTACATAGAATATAAGGTATGAGTTTGGTAGTTGCTTTGGTGGGTTATATATGAGCTCAAGGTGTAGTCTCCATGTGATTTAATTGGCTTTACTTAATGTCAGCCATGCCTATGAATGTCCTAATAGCACAGACTGCAGCAGTTCATGAGAGTAGTTGTATAACTTAGTAGTGGGCATAGGATTCCAAAAGTCCGTATCCTCAGACTCCAAAGCATCAAACATTTATAGCACTGGCAGCAGCTGACATAATGTTGATGGGACAGAATCTGCATAATACTATTCCTAGGTGCATCGGAACATGTACCCCGGGCTTCAAATACTGTGACACCAACAGCCACATTCCTCAAGACAYAGGATGTGAAAGAGACCTTTCTCACATGGATGAAAGCATGAGACACCTGGGATGAGATATGGAAATGGCCACAGTTCCAGAGTCAAAAGATGGGATGGATCCTTCCTCGGGTGCAGTTGGATGAAGAGGGGTGATGCAGGGGTCTATGGCACTAGTAACGACACTCAAAGTTATAAAACACAAAAGGGATCTTTCTTGTCTACTTTGGTGGTGGTTTTAGATGATGTTTAACTTTTAATACTTTTAATAATGGCAGCCACTTYTGTGGATTCTTGGAACCTGGATAAATCCTTTTCCATGCCCCAAGGCATCATTCCAAGTGATATTAAAATTTTTGCCAATAAGMAGCTTTGGCCCCAACTCTATCAGCAGTGGAGAAGTCTTTTCCTAGCTCCAGCACCCCTGGGGGAATGTTCAGGTAATATAAAAGCTGTGTGCCACTGGTATCCATGCTCTGGAAGTATTCGACATGGGGGGAACCTTCCTTAGGTAACCTGACACCAGACTTTTGGCACCAGGAACCATAATCCCAAGGTTCTGGGTTGAAAAGGAACCTTCTCTTATTTACACAGGGTGAGTACAAACGGTTCTGGTAACAACATTCCTGGAGCTGAGGATGTGGATGGGACTTTTCCCAGTTCCTAATGGATAGACAAGGGTAAAGCTAGAATTTTGCATCTGCAGCTGGAATTCCAAGGCTATATACTGGAGAGGAGATGTTCCCTAGTGCCCATCAAGGAAGTTCAAGTTCAGGTGGGACTTAGGCTTGTAACTGTTACAGCCACTGGTCCTGAAGCTGCAAGATGCTAAGGGGGATATCTTCTGCCCTATGAGTGTACATTATTTAAAATCTTCTGGCAGGGCTGGGGATGTGGCTCAAGCGGTAGCACGCTCGCCTGGCATGCGTGAGGCCCGGGTTTGATCCTCAGCACCACATACAAACAAAGATGTTGTGTCCACCGAAAACTAAAAAATAAATATTAAAAAATTCTAAAAAAAAAATAAAATCTTCTGGCAGTGTCAGCGGGTCAGGTTCCAGTCCCATGAGCTATATTTCACATAGTAGTAGCTATTGTAGTACCTTGAGTACTGGATACTGGGACAAATGCAAAGTGAGTTTCTTCCTTGTAGCTCAGTAGTCATGCAGACCAGTCAGTCCCTCAAACTCAGTTAAAAGCCTGTGAGAACTGTGGAATTCACCTGAAGGAAGGTATATGCAGTTGCTTGCACTTATTCACCCTTTCCCAATAGTGTAGAGTTCTTCCTGCCAGAAAGCCATATTTAAAGTTGTAATTTCCTTTGTTCTGTTCTCAATGTTTCATGTTCAATTTTCCATAGTATTTAGGATTCACATTCTTTCCTTGCTGGTTCCCAGAGTTCTCTTTCAATTAGTGTCCTCAAAATATTTTTTTCTTTGCTGTCCTGGTTCTTCTCTTTTGTATACCAAAATTTCTTTATATATTCACATTTGAAGGTAGTTTAGGTTGATTGCATATCTTAACTATTGCAAATAACAGTGCAAAACGTAGGAGGACAAATTTCTCTTCAAGACACTGATTTTATTTCCTCTGAGTACAGATCCAGTAGTGGAGACTACTGGATCTTATGGTAGTTCTATTTATTTTTTATTTTTGGGGAGAACCTCCATACTGTTTTCCATAATGGCTGTACTTAATTACATTCCCATCTAAAGAGTGTAAATATTCCCTTCTTCACATCCTTACTAATACTAATTTCTTGTCTTTCTGATAATAGCTATCCCAACCRGTGTTAAGTGATATCACATTTTGGTTTTTAAAATTAATTGCACATAGAATTTATTGTGATAGTGATGTATATACATACAGCATGAACTGATCAGATCCAACCATTAACCCTCTGTCAGGTGACTAATTGGCAAATACTTTATTCCATTCTGTTGATTATCTCTTTACTCCATATTTTCCTTTGCTGTAATGAAAAGAGAATAATATTGATATATGATAACAATTAGATCAAAAGAATAGAAACAAACATTAGAAAAAAGTATATTCATGTATATGCAATTCAAATAGAAAAAGTCTTTTCAGCAACTGGTGTTAGAACAGTTGGATATCTACATGCAAATAATAAATGTAGACCTTTAGTGCATACCGTGTACTAAAATTACTTAAAATGCATTGTATGCCTACATGTAAGAGCTATAGACATAAAACTTCTAGAATAAAACAGGAGAAAAAAATGTGACCTTCAATTAAGCAAAGATTTTTAAGATACAACTCTAAACTCTAAAAATAAAGCAACGAAAGAAAAAGCTAAATTGGATTTTGTAAAAATTAAAATATTTTACTCTTCAAAATTTATCATTAAATAAATAAAGAATAGAATAACCATAGACTACTTGTAAATCACATGTCTGATAAATAGCTGTATCCAGACTCCAGAATATATATATATATATATATATATATATATATATATACACATATATATATCCTACAACTAAATAATAAGACAAAAATTTTAAATTTTAAATGTTCAAAGGTTTAAAGTAAAGTTTATTACATATATATACAAATTGCTAATAGGCAGAAGAGGAATGTTCAGTATCATAAAAGAACTACAAATTAAACCATATCAATATAGTACTTATTAGTATGATTATAATCAAAGACACTGATACCCAATGACAAATATTGACAATAATGTGGAGAAGCTAGAATCCTCATACATTACTGTTAGGAATGTAAAATGACATAATGACTGTTGTAAACAAACTGGAAGTTCCAAAATTTAAATATAAGCTTATCATAGGACCCAGCAATTGAACTCTTAGGAGTCTTACCTGAGATAAGACATAACATTTCAACAAAGACTTATATGAGAATGTTCACACAAAACTATTATTAAAGCCAAAAAGTAGAAATAACCAAATGTGCATCAACTGATGAATAAATAAAATTTGCAAAATGACATCTTATTTATCCATGAAAAGAACCTACTAATTCATGCTAAAAGATATGAATCTTAAACACATTATGCAAAGTGAGAGAAGCAAGACAATGGAGAATAAATATAATATTCTTGAATTTTATAAAATTTCACAGAAGTTGAACCTTATATTGAAAAAAAAAAGATTAGTGGTTACCTATGATTGGAGATGGGAATAGCAGTACAGATTAACTGTCAATAAAAAAGATAACTTTTTAGGAGGTAGATATGTTCTGAAACTTGATTATGGTAATCGTTGCACAACTTTACTATAATTCATTCTGTGTGTACTTGTAATGGATAATTTTTATGCTATGTAAATTAGACCTTGAGGAAGCTGTTTTTAAAGAAAAAAATTCAGCTAATGAGATAGAAATTACATCCATCAATTCAAAATAATGAAAATTCAAGATAAGAGAATCAGAATAGAGGCTTATCCATGGAGCTGCTTTTGACTGGGATAGAAGAGGTTTTACAGGATGTTGGTAATTCTTCATTTCTTGATCTGGGTGGCAACTTGATCTGTATATTCACTTGGTAAACATTAGTCAAATGGTTGAATTAAAATGTGTGCACTGAGCCAGGCATCGTGGTGCACTGTAATCCCAGCTCTGGAGGCTGAAGCAGGAGGATCATGAGTTCAAAGCCAGCCTCAGGAAAATCGAGGTGCTAAACAATTCAGTGAGATCCTGTCTCTAAATAAAATACAGAATAGGGCTGGGGATGTAACTCAGTAGCCAAGTGCCCCTGAGTTCAATCCCCAGGGGGGAAAAAAGTGTAAAAGTGTACACTGCCCCCTAAGTATGCTGTACTTTAACAAACACTTTACAAACACAAAAATAGAAACTGTGACTCCCTTTCGAAGCAGGAATCCTATTGTAGTTTATTCCTGGAATTTCCACAAACTATTAGCTTTGGTTTTATTTAAGAAGGTTTATGACAATGAGAGATAAAAACAGAGAAAAAATAAGCAAACAAAACTGACCAGCTCATTCTCTGAACGCTAGCACATTTACAAGAGAAATACAATTGACTCTGAACAGAACTAGTTTCTGAGTAAAACCTAAGTTTCTGCATTATGAAGCCTACATTTTGTTTTTCTTAAGACAGCCCACTCAGAAATGTCCCTTTTTTGGAATACTATTAAATTAATCCTGGCATGCATTCACAATGATCCATATTTTCCATGACACTATGGGGTGAACATAGGGTAAGTGATGGCAGCAACTTTTTTGAATAACAAGAGTACTCCTTTGTTCACAACTCGGGTCACAGTTGCGAGTTGTCTGTGTGCTTGGTAATGTCCCAGAATCCCCATGTACCTATGTTTTTCCTAAAACTAAAAGTGTTTATACCAACTCTACCTAAGTCACAGGGCTGTTGTAAAGGTCAAATGAGATAAAGTTCCTTTCCCAGGCATCCAGTGTCATCCAAGGCCACTTCTTAGTTTTAACAGCAGCAAATATTCAAGTTGGAAAAATTAATTTGCTTTCAGTGGTGCAGCTTTTAAAATTGAGGTTATAATGAGTTCCTTGAAAAGTGCCTTATCTGCAAATGTGAGGTTTCTTCATTTGGTACACAAAAGGTTCTTCAATAGTCTGCATATGAAGCTTGAATTTGGTATAATTCCAGGGGCAGTAGAATTMTGCAGAGGGGGATTAGGTGCACATGTGGACATTCTCAACATGACTCCCACCCTTAGCACACCTGAGATGGATAATGCACATCATCATGCCACTGGTGAGACTACACAATCTCAGAGGTAGTTGAGGGGTGATGGTAAAAGCACATTTCCGTACCTTAGCACTGCACTAGAGGCTTTGAAGGTTAAGTGGTTGGTGGTTTGAGGTCCAGCAAATTCCCATGAAGGATTCTTTTTTTTTATTAGTTTAGCTTTTATTATAAAATATTTCAAACTTCAGCAAAATCAGAAACTAGTATTACATGCTTACTATATAGTTTTAACAATTATCAATATCTGGTCATGGGATTTATAATTACATGAGTATCTCTAAAAATTAATATTTCCCCATCTTAGAAAACGTGTCATATGCAACTAGTTAACACTAAGTAATCAATAGCATCAGCTATCCAGTCACCATTCAYATTTCCCTGATTATATTATACATTTATTTTTATGCCACAAAAAGCATATGCCTTTTTATTTAAAGAAAAGTTTGCAAAAACAGAAGTATAAGGAAAGATTAAGGTATTATTGTTTACACTGCATTATCTTCAGGATCTAGGACAGTGCCTGATGTTTCTTCAGTTAATATTGATTGAACAAAGGAAGTTAGGATGTTCAGAGGGAAAGAAGCATGAACCACTCTCTTAACCGCTTGCATGAGCTATTTTAAAAAAATTTTTTTAGTTGCTCTTTTTAGTTATACATGACAATAGAATGTATTTTGACATATTAAACATATGTGGAACACAAATTCCCATTCTTGTGTTTGTACATTATATGGAGTTACACTGGCCATGTATTCATATATGAACATAGGAAATTAATGTCTGATTCATTCTACTGCCTTCCATTCCCATCCCCACTCCCTTCACTTCATTCCACTTTGTCCAATCTAATGAACTTCAATTCTCCCCCACTCCCCCCCCTTTCCCACCCTTATTTTGTGTTACCATTTGCATATCAGAGAGAACATTGGGCCTTTTTAAAATTTTATTTATTTCACTCTGTTTTATGATACTCTCCAGTTCCATCCATTTACCAGCAAATGTCATAGTTTCATTTTTCATTATGGCTAAGTAATATTCTATTGTGTACATACCACATTTTCTTTATCCATTCATCTGTTGAAAGRCACCTAGTTTGGTTCCATAGCTAAGCTATTGTGAACTGAGCTGCTATAAACATTGATGTGACTGCATCACTATAGTAGGCTGATTTTAAGTCTTTGGAGTACTTGCCATCCCTGGGGAGTATGGCCATCCCTGAGAATAATGATGATAATAGCTATTGTTTCTCAAATGCTGGCCTCAGACATGGTAAGCACTCTACTTGAATTTTCTTCTAATATGTATTCAATACACAAAGTAAAAACATTTTTTGTGTGCATAAGGTAAATAAGATAATGTTTACCCATTCCCATCTTATATTTAAGAGGAAGTTTCTCCTACACCTCACTGTATTACAAACCCTGTTTTGTAGACACTTAGGAATAGCTATTTCTTTTTTTTGATAGATAGATAGATAGAGAACTTTATTTTTAATATTTATTTTTTAGTTCTCGGAGGACATAACATCTTTGTTGGTATATGGTGCTGAGGATCGAACCCGGGCTGCAAGCACTCCAGGCGAGCTCGCTACCAGTTGGGCCACATCCCCAGCCCAGGAATAGCTATTTCTTATTGAAATTTCCCAGTGGCAAAGGGTCACCCCACAGAGATAATTGCTAATTAAGACTAGATCGTCCAGGCCTGAAGCAAGACCAATACCCTAAATGTTACCATTGATTACATTTCTGGTTCTTGATTAAATGTCACCAAACAATTAGCTGATTATTCTGTCTCTGGCCTTGGCAAGTACCACAATTCCTGTGGCTCATGTYATTGGAACCACATGGACTCAAAGCTCTTGCTTTGTTTTTTTTTTTTTCTTTTTCTAGAAATATCCTCTCTCCTTCTTATCATGGAGTAGACTCTTTGCTCCTAACTCACAACATATCCCTATAGAGAGATGACTCTCCTGACCATCTTTCCTAAAATAAACTCCAGTCAAATCACTTGCCCAAGATACGTACAGGCAAAGCAACAATTTGTCCCCAAAATGGGGGATGAAAGAAAATATCAACAGTATCAGAGYAGAGATTTATCCTAAGAAAACAACTTCAAATGAAAACTCAGTTTTGAATTACAGCAAAAATCCTTCTCAACTGAGTGAGTTGAATCTAGAGAGAACTAAAATCCCTATAATTAAATAAGGCCATATTTTAAAGTGACGTAAAGGGAGACAGTTATAAAAA